CACTCAGCTAACCAATACTATTGCAGTCAGCCAAGCACACACAAAAATACACTCCACTCAGCCAACCCTTGCAAAATCACATTTAGCCACCAGTATATAGCTGGGGTAAGGGTTACTGCAGTACCCAGAGAAAATCAAAATACAAACATTTCCTATTGTGCTCCAAGCAGGGTACAGTAATCCACAAAAATAGAAAAAACGAGGGCAGCGCAAAGAATTTAAAATGTGCACACCAAGTGCTACAAAAATGTATTTACAAGGATATAAAGTACAAATGTTTCCGGTTATCCCCTTTATCAATGCACATCCTTCACATTTAGCCACCACACACATCCCACTCAGGGGACTGATTAGGGGGAGCAAGGAGGGGCAATAAGAGGGACTGTTTTTTTATTCTTACACTAGGCCCCGTGATTACTGAGTAAATGTGTATACCCAGAGCACTGTATAAGAAATGTTAAACATTAAAAACAGCAATTTCCTGAATGCTAAAGACAAAGACCACACACTGACAAGACAGTATCATCATCACATTGAAACCGGGGAACCACAATTGCCCATAATAGTGCAGGAGAGTGTACCCCAGGATGTAAATCCCCTGCATGGTTGCATTGCATTGTAGACTCTTCTCTTGTCACATGTGTGAGGAAAGCTGTATCCACATCCAGCATGTTAGGGCTCTCCTAGCAGCAACATTATTAAACCTGCTTTTCCCCCCTCCGTTTGATGTTAAAAATAAGAGCACATGTCACAAAGCAATGTGACCAAATTACTAAAGCAGCCTGGGTGGCTTTCTTGAATTTATGGGAGATCCCTTTCTGTCAGCCTAGCAGCTCAGAACTGGCTGAGAATACATCATCTGACCAGCATGTGCTGCTCTCATGCGCGTTTGACACTTGGAAATGTCCCCTCCTCATCCAGGACATCAGCTGACACAAAAGCTGTTGCTATGGTGAAGCCCCCCTCCCCTTGTACTCTATAATGTTACAGCACCAATGAACTCCACGCTTCCAAGCAACAGCGTCAGGTGTGGGTATCGAGTGAACTGAGCTTGTCCAAGCCACAAGACCCTGGGCTATGGCAGGGAGGGGGGATGTCATGGTGGCTGCTCAAGGCAGCTCAGATGTCCTGTCCCTGTTCCAAAATTACTTTGTGTCTGGACATTTATGGTATGGGTTACTTGTACTTTCTTTTTACAGTCAAGGACATTGCTAAATGCAGACCAAAGAAATTATTCCTGCCCTGTAGACTTGCCAAACAGAAAATCCAAGCACACCCCAAATAACGAGATGGGTCATCTGATTGGATTATTTTCTGGATTGCACTAAATACCTCTTAAGAAGGGCTTTCCCATTTTCCAATGACACCAGCTCAGTTTGGTAGGTCCAAGGGAGGGGCAGCTAGAGGTGTTTGCCATATTTTTTTTTTTTGGTTATACTTGAATTAAAGAAGTAAAAATGTGACTGGGATGTAGATTATTTAGAATTACAAATAAAAATGCCATCATGCACCATGTCAACCAATTAAACAAAAACTGTGCAGTTTCTACAATATATAAAAAAAAAATGAAAAATTACAACATGCAAATATTGCTGCACAAATAGGTAAGACTTGATGTGCACGTATTCCTGACTTTATGGAGGAATATAGTTAATTCAAAGAATTACCCCAACAGGATGCATGGTGCAAAAGTAAAAACTAGAATGCATGATAAGAAAACACAAAAAAAGGCTGGAGCCTTTTGTACTGAAGATTATTGCCCCCTTTTTTTAAATAAAGTTTAAAAAGCAATAACATTTACCAGTAAGTCAATGCCAGGACAGACTGCAGCACAGTGCGTCCATGATGAGATCATCAGTTCTGACCTATGGCTCGTGTGACGGTCGTCACAATCCACCAATCCAAACCACTCTGTCAAAAGCATTATTGTCGCTTGGCAACATTTCACAGGAAGCTTCTCCAGTGGCAGTCTGCTAGCCACTAGTCGTATTTTCGGCCAAATGTAAACATTACCCAGACGGTGACAGTTCTGCTTGAACCCTGCAATGTAAAACAATGCAGTTAAGACTGCCTCTACTGGCTGTCTACCAGATAGGCATTTGAGGCACTTCCTGCTTTTCCACGGAGTTTGACTCTATGGACGTCCTCACTTTGCTTGAGGACATGCAGTGTCTTAAAAAATCCCATACTAATGCATTGATGAAGGCCTAATGTGCACTTCCCCCCCAAGGGATCTTGGCACTGGAAAGAGGTAAGTGTTAAAATAGTTTTTTAGCCTTCCAACACCATTAGGGTGCCAGCCACGTTATTCCCCAAAAGTGAAAATTCAAGGTGAATTTAAAGTGAATATCAAATTTAAAAGAACACCGTGGTGTCAGGAATACAAAAATGTATTACTGATACTCTACATGTGAAAACCCAGCCCCTTGCTGACTCACCTTTTTCCAGCGCCGCAAGGGACTCCTTGCGATTGGCCCCACTCACGACCTTGCCTCATCACAGCCAATTCAATTCTTTCTTATAGGAAAACATTGGGAGGCTATTGCACATGTGCGGCAAAATGCCATAGTGCACCAAACAGCATCTCCTCATGGAGATGCATTGAATCAATGCATCTATATGAGGAACATTCAGCTCCTCCATACAGAGTGAGAAAATGCTGAACGTCAGTGCTGCACATTGTTCACATCTAGTCTGACCTTAAATGTAAAACTTGCTTTGAATTCACTTTAGTAAATTACACTGTAAATTATAAGGTGATGATTGCTGCTTATTTAGCACTTTGCCTAAAATAGCACCCTTATTATCTCTTGCCAAACTTTTTGTAAAGCAAAATATTGCACAGTGGGTCAGCGCAGTGAGCAAGTCCTGTAACCGTAATAACTGCACAGATCTTTCTCAAGACTCGTGTAACCCGGTCCTGTACTCAGAGCTTACTGGAGTAAGAGGTCATGGCCTCACAGCCAGTTGTTAACTCAAGCAGTTCTTTGGTCGAGTATATACAAATATCAACTCTTTTGTATTTATTATTATTAATATTGGCATTTAAATAATCCCAGCTTATTCCGCATTGTTTTTACAATATCTTAAAGGGTGCAATTTAACAATAAATGAGTCAATTACAGAATGTTACAGGAACTATAGACTGATGAGGACCCTGTTCAAATCAGCTTGCAATCTAGAGGTAGGAAATGCACAGTTGCCAAACAAAGCTAGGTATGTTACGATGGTATCTCCCAACATTGGAAGGCATGAAACAACGTCTATAATGGGTGGTCACACCTAGAAGTGGAATGCCCACTCTCTGAAGAGGGCCATGTCAGCCTGGCGTCCCTATGTAGGACACCATGAAACTAAAATTGGAAGGGAGGACTGGGTGCCGAAATCAGAACTGTTCCACCTGAAGCCTCCTTAGTGGATGCCAGTCCTAGTCCAAGAGTAGGCTGGCAGTGGAGCATACGGTACCAAGCAGAGAAAGGTGCTTTGGTAAGTTTGTTGGCATAATACTTCAACAGTTGGGCAGCAGGCTGAGATCGTACAGGGCCTTTGCTTGCCCAGCACTCTGTGGGCTGGGGCTTGGGCTTGAGGTTATGATCTCAGCGCTCTCCGGGCCTCAGTAAGCCCACTTGGAAGTTTCTCCAGAACTGCAAACTGTGAATATTAAGTGGAAACAAAGGTAATTTGTTTTCACTTGCCAGCCATGCCCTGTCTGGGAAGTAGCAATTGAAGCAGAGTGTGGACAGAGCTTCCTTTGCCATAGATTAAATATTTTTCAATATAATTTCTCCTTCTGGTGTAAACTCGTATAAGGCTTTTGCAAATTGATTGTGAAATATTTTGGTGTAAATCAAAGAGAATAAGTTTACCCTATTTGTTGAATTTTACGATACATAACAGTTTCTGGAGCACTGATGCTTTGCAGCTGTTTGAAAGCATGCAAGATTTTCTCGTTTTATTTTACTGGGGACTCAATGACCTCTCCAAGGCTGCAATCATTTGACACCAATTCAATCTTCTCTGTGACATAATCACAAGGTCACTCCTTCAGTAAGACACGCGGCTGAATGAGCTCAGTGCTGTGACTCTTGCACACTTGCTTGCATCTGTGATGTTAACCCGCTGGGAAGCAAACGTATGTGTTTTGCTTTCAAACTCTGTTTTTATTTCAGTTTAATAAATTATGCTACGTTATGTATTTTATATATGGAGCTTTTATGAGTAGCCATATTAAACCTTTAAAGCAAATGCAACATAATAAAATATTGAGGTATATTTATTAAAAAATAAAAAATCTATTAAAATTTACTCCAGTTGTCCTCAGTCGGTTAAATGAGCATGATGACAAATGTAGAAATATTGTTTTGTCAGCCTAATTGGGATATATTATTTCAGGATTTGCCCTTAAAACTGAAAACTGAATTTGCAAACTCTAGGCTACAATAGCAATGGAATGTGGCTGAGTGGGTGAAAATGTTTTCTGTTTTGGCCTTTTGCAATTAGTTTTTTGGTTTTCAAGTCACTGCAGTTAACTGCTTATTGTATAAACCACACACCCGTAAATGCAAAACAGTAAGTAGGTAAGAGAATAGAGAGATATATCACAATGTCATCAATAAAACTATATTACATGGTGCGGAGGCCGAAGATGTTTCAGATTTCAGTGCAAATACAGCATAGTGTATAGTTTCAATAAATATTCAGAAACAGTATCAATAAGTTCTTATTTAATTTGGAAAAAATTACTAACATAATAGACAATGAAATACATTTACAGTAGGTTCGGAGAAAGAAAGGAAACATATGAGGGAATAAGGAGATCAGGTAGAAAGGGAAAAAGGGAAGGTGTAAAAAGACTGGAAGAGGAGTGAAAAGTGGGAGTGAAATAGATGAAAAATGAAAATCGAAGGCATAAGGTTGGAGGAATAAAACAGTGGTCCCAGAACTCACTCTATCCAGTGTATACAGTAGTAAGTGTATGAATATATATATATATATATATATATATACATAGAAAGGATGCACTCTCTGGTCTTCAAGAATTCATCATTTTATTGCATACTGCTTAATGGAATAAATAACTTTATAATTCTTGAAGACCGGAGAGTGCATCCTTTCTATGTATATATTGTATATCATTTCAGCGTGGGATAGCACCAGGGCATTGGACTTTATATTATTTTACCAGCAAGGGTGAGTGCCATTATACCTGTACTATATATATATACCTAATATGAACAGAGCACACAGCTAGTTTATTTTAATGAGCCTGTTAGAAAACTGGCTCAAGTAATACAGCATTTGTATATAAAGTAGGTTCCATCCATGAGTATCAGGTCCTCACAATGGAAATAGATGAAGGGCACCAGCTTTTAAAGTTAAAACAAATATATTTATTGCACAAAAGTTTAAAAGCTTTTACATATAAAGTGCCATTAGCTCACAGGTCCATCAGTCCAAATAAAGCACAACGCGTTTCAACGCTTAAATCAGCATCTTCCTCAGGTGCATGGGTATTCTCTGTGTAATCCCGGTTTATAAGCCAGTTTATAAGCCACCTCTCGCACCTCCGGTTCCGCCGTTTTGTGTCCCGGCAGCCATGTTCATGCGTTCCACCTTCGGTTTTGCTATACAGCGGTTGCATTTATGTCTTTCAACCTGGATTTTCTTATGAACAGGGTCTCCTTTGTTGGCAATAATGTCCTTTTGGGGTGTTTGGCCTGACCAGAGAACAAGCTGGACGCAGCAGTGTAGAGCTCTGATCCCAACACCCTAAAAATAGCCTACGACAGCACCAAAATTGCAGCAAAGACACCAGACATGGACAAAAGAAACCCTAAGAAGCAGCGCAAGAAGGGCTCCGAGGCAGGAACCTCTGTCCTCGACATGCTGACCACGCATAAAACCGGGTCCGCGGAGCCCCAAGATGGCGCTGGACAAGGCCTCGCATCACAGCCCTCATCACCTCGTGGAGCGGCGGGTGGAGAGCCCGGACTGGGAGACACAGCGCTAATTCTGTCAAGACTGGCTGAAGTACAAACTTACCTGGCTGGTAAAATAGAGAAATCAACGACGGTCCTGCAAGCCGAAACCTTTGCTACCAGGACCTATCGCCTAGCACCTTCCAGAGAAGACGGGAATGGCGTCCCATTACGGAGGCTCTACGCTGCGCAAATATTCAGTACGCCTGGGGGTTCCCCTTTTGGCTGATGGCGTTCCAGGGGGGAAAGGCCCATGTCCTAATGCCCAACGGGGACCCGGGATGCTTCCTTGGAGCCCTAGGAGTGAACACCCACGGTAACCTTCCGATGGCACAGATGGCTCCCCAAGACCTGGAGGCACAACCAACCGAGTGGCAAGAGGTTGGTGCACGCCAGCGTTGACACGGTGAGTGGGTAAGGTGCGACTGCAGCCGGACTGGGGAGACATTTCCTGAAGGTTTGATCGTACTGGGGTGGATGGAGGCCGTGACTGCTTGGGGAGGGGGAATGCTCACGTTCACAGCTCCTCTAGCTGGTACTAGTGGGGGTGGGGGGGCTCAGCATGAAAATTGGGGTGGGGGTGTTGGGCACGAGGGGAAAGAGCTGTAAATGTTGAGGCTCGGGCCTGTCCACACGTGGCACATATACGTTGGCGAGATCACTGGGCACCCACCAACACCCTAAGATATCTGGGGAAGAAATAGGGGACACATAACCTGGGAGCAAGGGGCTCTTTTCACACACCCCAGGAGGGGATAGCAAAGTGACTTGTTTGGGACTGCTGCCGGCCCATCTGGACACATGATGTATGTACGGCCATTATCAGCAGACCCAGTTGTACACAGATATAGGGCCTTCTAAAGGGCACATATAGGCTAATGATGCAAATTAGAGAATGCGCAGCTAGATCCCCTTTATATGGGCTACTCTCCCCTGGGACCCCCCTTTCGGAGGCAGGTAGAAGTCCTGTATGGTTAAGGGTGGACAGACGCGAATATCGGGGACGACTTTAACACCACGCCAAGCCCAGCAGCTGACAGGAGTGCTCATAGAATTCCAGAAATTAGAAGGCCTACTGGCTGATCTTTAGCGGGTAGAGCAACAACATCAGAGTGGTCTGAACGACGTGGCGTCTGGACGATTAGCGGAGGTACGGCTTGCCATACGCACGCTGCTCCTCGACGATACGGCTAAAGCCATTACCTGGTCCAAGAGGATTTTTTAGGAACATGCGAACAAAATGGACACACTTCTGGACAGAGTCCTGAAACCTAGACAACGCGGGGGCCACATCACCTCTACACAACATAAAGACGTATCAACCGAAACTAATCCCCGAGACATAGCGGAGGTTTTTACAGATTTTTATAAATCTCTGTATAACCACTCCCTGGGATCAGAAAACCGGACATTACATGACAAGACTTTGACGAACAGCTTTTTAGCAAATCTAGGGCTCCCCAAGTTAACGCAGGTGGAATCAGAGACACTAGCGGCAGAGATCACCCCAGATGAGGTACTCCAAGCGATATCCCAGCTGAAAGGAAACAAAGCCCCTGGCCCGGACGGGTTTGACGGCCACACCTAACGACTTCAGATCAGGAGGCATCCCGGACCCAGACATGTCCTTGGCCACTATTATCTTACTGCCAAAACCAGACAAAGACCTGTGCCTCCAGGGTAGCTGTCGCCCAATCTCTCTCATAAACCACAACATAAAAATACTTTCTAAAATTCTGGCATCAAGACTAAACACTCTGTTATCCTCACTAGTAGACGCAGATCAAGTAGGGTTTGTTCAGGGAAGGCAACTCTTTGAGAACACAACGGCACAAGACAGGGGTGCCCATTGTCCCCCGTTTTATTTGTGCTTTCCCTGGAGCCGCTACTCCAGGCTCTGAGGAGACATCCAGACATACAAGGAGTGCTGGCAGGGGGGAGGGAGTATTTGGTATCAGCATATGCAGATGATGTGCTCCTGGCGCTCACCAGCCCGGTTGATTCAATGAGGGCCTTGCAGGGGATTTTCACGGACTATGGAGCTATATCGGGATACAAAGTAAATATGACCAAATCAAGCGCCCGGTGGGAGATATAGCTGTAATTACTAGCACACACCGCATACACATAGAAAGACAGAGGATTAACTATTTGGGTGTCCACTTGACAGCAGACCCAGACAAACTCTTACAACAAAACTACACGCCGCTGATAAAACAATTGATAAAGGAACTGGAAACTTGGAACGACCGACCTATCTCATGAATGGGGAGGATCCATGCGGTAAAGATGAACATCTTACCCAGGATTCTATTCTACTTCCAAACGTTGCCTATACACATCTCCAAGGCATACTTGGCACCTCTGCAACAGGTGATAGGGAACTTTGTGTGGCAAAACAAACGCCATAGAATCTCTAGACACATATTGTACAGACCTAAGACAAGAGGAGGATTGGGGTTTCCTAATCTATACTTTTACTACATGGCAGCCCAACTATCACAAATCGCACTTTGGCACTCGCCACCGGGGGTTAGAAAATGGGTGGACTTAGAATCAATGATGCTCGAAGCAGACATACCACAACTCCTCATATGGGTACCCAAAGACAATAGGCCGACAATTAGAGTCACATGCCCGTCAGTCCTAAACTCTATACGCATATGGGACTTGTCCAATCAAAAATATGGGCTAGCATCCAACCCTTCCCCATTGATGCCCTATATCCGCAACAGAGCATTCCCCCCAGGGATGACAGCAAGGGACTTTAGGACCCTGGAAAGGATATTCATTCAACGCATCTGCCAGACATTGCAGGGATCAGAGATAGTACTGTTTGACCAGGGACGTATTAGCCGCGAGGCAAACAAGGCATTTGCCTTAGGCGGCATTTTTCAGGGGGAGGCAAAAAACGGACATGCTGGGCGCTGGGCGGCGCTGGCTGATGGGCGGGCGGGCGGGTGGCGAGGGAGCTCTTCCTCTGAGTGGTCTGCTCAGCTCCCTCACGCGCCGCAGAGTGAGGCTGGGAGCCGGAATATGACGTCATATTCCGGCTTCCAGCCTCACTCTACGGTGCGCGACCGCTCAGAAGAAGAGCTCCCTCGCCAGCCGCCCGCCCAGCAGCCAGCCCATCAGCCCGACTGGCAGCCACCGGACCACCAGGGAGAAAGAGGTCCCCCCCAGCACGCCCAAAGGTTAGGAGGCTGGGTGGGGGGGGTTAAATTTAAAAAAAAAGTGTTAATGTGAGTGTGTGTGTGTGTGTGACTGTGTGTGTGACTGTGTGTGTTTGTGTCTGACTGTGTGTGTGTGTGTGTCTGACTGTGTGTGTTTGTGTCTGTGTCTGACTGTGTGTTTGTGTCTGACTGTGTGTGTGTGACTGTGTGTGTTTGTGTGTGACTGTGTGTGTGTGTCTGACTGTGTGTGTGTTTGTGTCTGACTGTGTGTGTGTTTCTGTGTGTGTGTGTGTGTGTCTGACTGTGTGTGTGTCTGACTGTGTGTGTGTGTGCGTTTGACTGTGTGTGTGTCTGACTGTGTGTGTGTGTGTGTGACTGTGTGTGTGTGTTTGTTCTGACTGTGTGTGTGTGTGTTTGTGTGTGTGTGTGTGTTTGTGTCTGACTGTGTGTGTGTGTTTGTTTCTGACTGTGTGTGTGTGTGTGTTTGTGTCTGACTGTGTGTGTGTGTTTGTGTCTGACTGTGTGTGTGTCTGACTGTGTGTGTGTGTGTGTGTGTCTGACTGTGTCTGTGTGTGTGTGTGTCTGACTGTGTGTGTGTGTCTGACTGTTTGTGTGTGTATTTAGAAGGTGGGGCAGCACAAAACTAGGATACACCACTGCGTTTGATGCCTTACAACAACGAGGCCACCTCACACCAGCAGACTTTTTTAGATATCTCCAAATACAAGACTTTATCAAACTTCCACACATACGAGCAGCTGCCCAAAAGCCCTTAATATTCTACACGAAAACATACCAAAAGGTCTGATATCGCAGCTTTACACCTACCTCTGCTCAGACACCACTGAATGGGGTAGCCTAACGTACACAGACCGCTGGGAAAGGCACCTGGGGGAAGAGCTTGAGGGTATAGAGTGGCAGGAGATTTGAGAAGCTAATCATACATCCTCCGTATGCGTTACATTACAGGAACA